GCGGTCTTGTTGGGCGGATGGAACTTGTTGTGAAATTGCTTGACCAACTCATCCCAAGTTGCTATAGAGTTTATGGGAAGCGAGTTTAGCCAAACCTGAGCAGCTCCTGTCACCGAGAATGGGAACAATAATAGCCTGATTGCTTCCGGAGTCACGTTCGGTTGCCTTTGGGTTTTGCATATAGACAGGAAGTTCTTTAAGTGTTGCTGAGGATCTTCTGTTTGTGTCCCAGAAAAGAGTCCCTTGTTCTGCAACAAGTGTAGCATGTTATTTGTGATCTGGAACGATTCAGCTTGTATTGCGGGCACAATAATGGCAGTGGCCAAATTGTCAGCTGTGGGTTGTGCCCAGTCATAAAGTGCACCCTCAGGCACAGGAGGTGCCAATTGCTCATTCCTGACGTTTCCGTTGGGGTCGTTTATGTCGCCCATGTCAATTTCAAGTCGGTGTGTTTGTTGGGATTGTTGAAGTCTTTTGTTTGCACGATTCAATGCCCGGAATGTCTTCTCGGGGTCTGAGAGTCCTTCAAGTAGTTCTCCAGTCCTCGTAGAATTTCTAGGCATGCACCTGTGTACCCAGATCAACAACTGTCAAATTTTCAATGAAAAAGTTGGTAGAGAGAAAACTGACTACAATAAGAATCTTTGTATTTCTGTCAATGGCAATTGATAATTCTGTTAACTCCCCGGCAACGGCGCCAAAATTTGATCACGCCCAACTATGCCTTATAAAAAGGACTCTGCGGACGTTGCAAATATAACCCGAGTATTACGCCCAGGGTCGAATCCTCAGAGAGTTAACCTATCAACCACTATCTTCAGACCCACTAATTCTTCAGAACCAGCTTCCCAAATATTCAAATCTCAGTTGAGTGTTCTTTAACAACTAGCTTGCAAGTGACTAAATGGTTGTAACTAAATTAATAAGGTTGTAAACAATTATGAGGAAAAGCTAAGGCAATGATTTCCCCTATTGATGGAATCCCTTCTGTTTATGCTCATACAAATTTACCCACACATCTCTATCAATCATGAACGCTAATCTTACCGCAAATCTCACCCGAGTAATCACAGTAATCTACTATTGCACTCTCCCGAGATACACTAGCTTACTTTATTTAGCACAATTCACTTTAGATTACACCCAAGGCTTCGTTATCCCTAATCCCGCCTGTAAACCCACAATTCTAGATTCCTCTAATAATCTAGGATTGGTGTTGTTCAATAATACCCTAAATATGCACTCTTTTCCAAGTTATGCACACTAAATAGGCACAGCTAATTGAGGATCCTATCAATTAACTACAACGAACACGAAGTTGAACAAATAGAGATTAAACTAGAAATTGGTATTCACATAAACAAGAAGTTCATCACCCAATAGGTTCCATCAACGCCTTAGACAAGGAATTTAGCTACTCATGGCTATGGTAAAATAAACTAAGATTGAATTCATCATAAAAATCAAAAGAAAAGAAGAAAGATGTTTAGAGTATTCTCTCACAATGGTTTTCCCTGCTAAGAAACCTTAAAAATCAATACATGCCTCTCTTGGGCGAAGTCTAATGTTTTAAATAGGGTTTAGGTCTAAAAATCCCGTAATTGACACTTTGGTCCCCGAAGTTTCTGCGCCTGCCGCGGTTCTGCCGCGGTCGCGGTAGAACCGCGGCCAAACACCCTCGCGGATTCTCACAACTTCTGCAGCTGCTTCCCACCGCGGTTCTGCCGCGGTCGCGGTGGAACCGCGGTGGATCCAGTATTCTGAATTCTTCGGCCTGTTTTGCCTGGTTCACTTGGGAAATTTCACAGTTGGCCTCTTTTTCATCACTTTTAACTCCAAAACTGCTCCTTAGCCTTCCTTATACATATATCACCTACAAATCATGAAAAGCACTAATAAGAGCATTTTCTCATCACTTTTAGCATTAAAACTACACAAGAAGGTGATTATTTACGGTGTAATTATAGTCAAATTCACCTATTATCAAATGTCCAATTGATGTGATCTGCAACAGCCACATTAATTAAATGCATCTTTCATTTGATTAGCAAACTCGATCGAGCAAATGCTCCAATAATAATTATTTTTCCACTACTGCTTTTCATGATATCTACAACTTTGACAACTATTTATATGATTAATGTCATAAGGATGGGTCTTATATTGATTGAGAAAAGCTATTCTCCAGTCCAGATTAATAATAATCACTTGTGATAAATTAAAGTATTGGTGTTCAAGTTGATTCTGGAATGGTGTTGCAAGAACTCATAGTTAAAGAACTTTATGTATAGAAGATGAAATGTAGGATTGGATTATTTTATGGCCATTCCATTAACCTTGGCTGCAGACCAGCAATTTAGTCGAATTTCAGAGAAATTTTTCGACCTTTCTATCTATCTAGTCGCGCACGTAACATGTAAAACATAGAGTACTAATAAGAATTGAATCAAAATTAATATTAATGCGAATTCACATTTAAAATTTTGATTTGATCAATATTTCCATCATCAAAGTAACTTTTAAATAATACTTTATAGTTCAAATAATAAAACGGGACCAATTGACAAGAGAAGGCGGTCACAATACCCAAGAAGTCCATGCACAAACATTATAACACCCATAATACAGTAACATCATCCGGTGGCGGATGTAGCATTATGAGTTTATCTGAACCTATAACTTTTGATATATAAATATATGAAAAAACTACTAAAATCTCTTTAAATCTTATAATCGAACCATAATTTCAACAGTACAATGACTTTAGTTGCTGAAACCAGTTGAATCTGTTAAATTTAAATTTTCAATCCGCCTCTAACATCATCTATGTAATTCACACATGCCACCAACCAATTCAATTAAGGTGTAGTCACTATTATTGATTCATCGACACTACTATTTTGTTCTACTAATAGGGTACTCCAACACTGAAGTGACCACCTATTAGGTAACCTTCTTAATCCTGTAAAGAATCTTAGGCCCACTCAAATAATAATAATAATAATAATGGACCCAGACTTCTTTTTTCTTGTACCTCGTGGGCCAAGATGCAGCCCGTGAATTTTGAGCAGGACCCATTAGGAATTACAAAATTATAAAATTACCAAATTATAGCACAATGTTCACATGGAAATGACAGCATGGCTTTATTTCCGCTTATGCCATCTCCACCCCTACTCCACTACATTTTGGAGTAAAAAATAGAGGAATTTTGCTCCAACTCACCTCTAAATTTGATAAAAATTGTTCGCGGTGCCCTATTTGGTCGTCCCCATTTAACTTATACCCATTTTTTTTAAACTTTTAACTTTTACCCACTTATTAAATAACTTCAGCCCCCTTTCTCCTCCTCCTTCTCCTCCTTCGTTTTCTTCTTCTTCTTTCTTCTGCTGCTATTGGTGCTACTATGGAACTTCAGTTCATGGGATGATTGCCATAAATATGGTCTATAAAATTGAAAAGTAGGGAGCCCGGTAGTTCTTATGTGAAATTTTCCCTATTTTATCTGCTTTGGATTGGATTGTGCATAGATAGATTTGTTAGATGATAACAGTGGGACCGTGTATTTACATTTTTGCAAGCTAGTTCATTTTTACGTCCTTTCTTCACGCAAATCGTCTACTATCTTGAACTGCACATACTGTGAAGCCAATGGTTTGGAATATGCTTCCTTTAGTAGTTAAGTTTCTGGAGCTGAAGTTCGACAGTTACAAAACAAAAACTTCAGCTCTAGAGCTGAAGTTCGACAGTTACAAAACAAAAACTTCAGCTCTAAGTTCGCCAGTTACAAACAAAAACTTCGCTAGTTACAAAAACAAAAACTTCAGCTCTAGAGCTGAAGTTCACCAGTTACAAAACAAAAACTTCAGGCCCGTCTACTAGAATGCTGAAGTTTTGCGTGATTGCATTTGCTACTTCAGGCCCGTATGCTGAAGTTACGCGAAAAAACGAGTACGCTTGCAATTTTTTTGCAAAGCGGACACAAGTTAAAACGTGACACAAAAAGCGGGTGTAGATCGCAAACCCCCCCCCCCCCCCCCAAATTTGCCTCCATTTTGGAAGGTCTAATAACGTAATAAATTTGGAGTGACACTATTCATCTACTTCATCACTATTTTTTATTATTTAATCTTTTTAAATTATCATATTATATAATTTTACATCTTAATAGGTGAAATCTATAATATTAGCATACAAATTATATTATTTAATAATTTATGGTATAAAATAATTATATTTTAAATGGTTATACAAGAAAAAGAAAACAAACAATGGAATGGAAAATGAGTTTATCCCTTTCAAGGAATGGAAGGAAGGACTTATCTGGGAGTACATGCGGACTTCAATGGACATGACAGGCCTTTTGGACTGGATGCCTGATTCGTGTAACCGTCCGACTCTCAGAAACACATCACAAATTAGCCTTGGAACCGAGAAACCTTGCCCAGGACTGTGTCAATGGCAGTGACTATGAGGATCCTCTTTTCGATCAATGGCGCCCTTTGCCGGTTTTCACCAGTTGACCTCTCTCATTTCTCTTCTTACCATCGCCTTATAGTGCTCTTTGCGAGTTTTCACTAATAAGACTCTCTCATTTCAATTTCTTTACTCCCTATCGCCTTACGGTGCCCGTAAGGGTTTTCATCAATAAGACTTTCTCATAAAAAGAAAAAAAGATAGGATTTATTTAATGGAAATAGAAAAATAAAATTTAAATAAAAGATAATAATATAATATATAAGAGAGAAGAATGTAATAAAAAGATTATTTTTTTTTAAGTGAAAAAATGAAGTAACAGTGTGAATTATTCCATTTTGGAGTAAAGATTTGAATTGAAGGTTGAAGATGCCCCTAAATAAACCATATTTTGACCGCATATATTTGATTTTGATTAGGTTTCCATACACCTGGACCATATCAATAATAGAGGAGCAACAGTTGGTGATTTGGTTCCACCCTTAATCAATAAAAGTGGAGTAATAAATGATACATTGGCCAAGTATAGAATGCATATGAAAAATACTCCATTAAAAGGCATGAACATTAAACAGAGATTAAATTTTTACAAACTAAAAGTAGATAACCAAAATTATGTAACAACATGGAGTTCATGTCTTTTTCTTTTTTTATCTTTTATACAATGCAAGAGTGAACCCCAATTCCCAAGCAGAGCAACAGATGTGGACTAGTTGCGGGTCTTGTGCTGGTGGTGCTGGCACTCAACCGGAGCAACAGGGAACCTAGCAGTGTCTGTGCAATAATCATAGACCATATGGTTAGCCCTGACCCAAATCAACTGATGGCTCTGGTGCAGACTCAGCTCAGACATTGTTGGTTCGTCCCACCAATACCTTTTCTCAGTACTGCTGCTGCACCGCTTAGAATTCTCAGCAGCTGCAACAGTTGCTGGACATTCACAGCCATCAATCTCAAATCCTCTGTAGGATGCAATAAAGGGTGCATGTGACCAATCAGTCTTGACCCTTCCGCCTTGTGTAGCCCAATCATCTGCATTCCATATTGAACTGTACACACCCATGGGTTGGTCCTTTGGAAATGGAATTCCCTTGTGCTCCAAATTTGAGTGTACACGAACTGGGGTGTCATCTACTAAGAATCTGAAAAAATCATTTGAAATTTTTAATTAGTTAGTATAAAAATGGATATAATGTAAGGATCAATGAGAACTTTAGTTTATGTTATTTGAGGTTATCTAGAAAAGACATTCTGAAAATGCACGATGGACCCATTTGACATATCAAGAAAAAGGAATCTATCTCTCATTTTAGCCATTTCTTTTAGCTTTTCAATTCTTGAAAATCAGCACATTAGCCTTATACCATGGTTGGAACTTGCCCTGTCTCATTTATTTTAACAATCTTTCTAATTTAATGTGATAAAACAATAGGAATAATAATAATAAGGAGACTTACACAACTTGGCGTTGGTTCCACAAGATGGAATAGGAGTGGAATTCCTTGGATGGGTCGAACCAAAGGTTCAATCTTTGTTCTCTGTTACCCACACCATTTACGTACACATTGGTTTGTACAGAGTATGGTTCGCCAGTAGTGTTGCCTAGAAACTCAAAATCAAACTCATTGTGGGTTGGTCCCTCTGATGACATCTGCATATATATCACAAGTAAAGATACTTATCAGCAAACAGATAATTTCAAAGGTTAAGTAGTCATAGCTAGATTTACTTAATAAATAGAATAGTTTCTACATTTGATCACTCAAACTGACATTCACCAATAGAAAATAATTGGACAAGAGGGGAGCAACTATTTCCTGGATATGACGAGAGGTGAAAAGGAAGTAAATGCTTGAGTTATTGCATTTCAAGATGTTCACAAGGAAACAATGACCGAATACATGTACTGAATTTGATATAATGTCACAGTACGACTAATATTGTCGCCACCGGAAATTTCATTATTAATGGATTCAATGAAATGGACCAGTCATTTCAACATTTGTTAATCTTAACACTTTTCTCCTTTCTCAGCACAATGAAAGATTGTTACAGTTTATGTTTAAGTATTGTGTTTGGGGCTAGAAACTAGAATAAACTACAACTACCGAAGGGTAAAGCAAGAAACTTACGTAGAAAGCAGTGACAGTTCCAGCAGAGTCACCTTCTACAAGCTTAATCTGAACAGTAACTTTCCCAAACATATACTTGTTCTTTGATGAAAATCCAGCACCTGAAATTGCATATAAAAACAATGTCACATTATCAGCTTATACTAATATTTTTTTAACTGAACTTAATGGACAATATTAAATATGTCAAAGTACCAGAAAGGTTGTCCAATTTCATCCTGAGAATTTCTCCTTCATTTGTCAAATGGTCTGTTGCCCAGCTGGGCTGATACAGCTCCTCAAATCTTGAAGAGCTAACCAAACCAACCAACATTAGAGAAATACCCAAGAAAACCCACTTAAATTCCATAGGAAAAGACACCATTTTTCACAAGAATTTCAAAGATAAGAGAAAGCAGCCAAGTGCTCAGAAGTAATCTGAAGAGGGACAAAGGGAGTGGAGTGGCTTTTATAGCCAAACGGATCAGGCTTAACCAAGAAGCCAGAGTGCCACGTCAACATGCATTTACGTACACATCACTGTCCAAGTTGGAATCGGTCCTCAATGGGTCAGAGGGAAAAACTCAAAATATTATAGCCGTTAGCACTTATTGGCTTAGCTGGATTAAAGTTGGTCCCATGGTAGGGAGCAGCACAGTAGGTCCAGTCGCTGTTGAGAGAAGGATGGGTACATTGGCTGACCAATGAAAACTGCACACATGAAATATTACAGCTGGTCACTGCCACTGTACAGTTGTCATTGGCAGTAGCAGTTAAAAAGAAGGAGATATCTCTTTTCCTTTCAAAAAGCAAAGTATTCTCTTCGCGTGTAGTGAAAAAAAGGCCACAAGAATGAAAAATCAAGATAGGCTTATCAAAATGACCTTAATGAGATCTACGGTATTATTGCAGTGGACAGCTCTATCAAATTATTTCGCATAAATACGTACTTAAGTATGTAAAAATACGAGCAAAAAATATAGTATTTGTATGATTATCGTTATGGAATTATGGTTAATATTAAACTTGTAACTTCCTCCAAATAGATAGTCATTGTTAACAGTAGCAAACCCAGGAATTTCATTTAGGCTATTCAAACTTGAAAGAAATTAAAAAAAATTCGATAAAGGGTGTTCAATATCTGTTATATATCGCTAAAATCTAATATTTTACCTATATATACTGTTTAATTTTACGATGAAGGGTAGTCAGTTGACCACCCTTGAGCCTACGTAGCTTCGCCCCTGATTGTTAACAGAGCCGAATGTGGAGTTGCACCGCCGAGTTCAACTGAACCCAATACTTTCGACGCGTATCATAAATTTATGTGTAAACTTTTACTAAAATTGTAGTAATAAATAGTAGGTTTGAACCCATAATTTAAAAATACAATTGGTTCGTAACAAAAAAACTTTAGAGTTGAACTCACAAAACTTAAATTCTGTCTGCCTCTGCTTGTTAACCGCATGAACTTGGTTATTAGAAAATGTTTAGCAATCATAGATATTATGAGGTTCTCATGTGGTAGTACGTATCACTTCATTCCAATCTCGATTTCGAGCTGTGAAATGGTATCGTCCTTGATAATGAGTGTTCTACCATCAAAGTAGGATATGGAGACACAAATTCGGATTAATCGGGTCATAAGTAAATATCGGACACCGGATTGAAAAATAACAGTCAAACCTTGAAAAACAATAGAGAACCTATGTAGAACTGAAATGTCACGATCCAAAATCCGTTAAAGGTCGTGATGGCGCCGGACACCATTGTTAGGCAAGCCAACACTAAATAGTTAATTCAATTCTCGTTTTAGTATTTTTGAAATAAAAAATTACCTTCAATTTAACCAGTAAGAAAATGAACTTTACAGAATAAATAATAATATTTTTCCAATTTCAATACTAAATATCCCATAATCAACCCAGAACCTAGTGTCACAAGTGCATGAGCATTTACTAGGAATTTAAAATGCAATAATTGTCCGGAATACAAATTTGGACAAAAGAGAAAATAAAGTACTCTGAAGAAGACTCTGCTGGCTGCGGATCATCTCATAAAATGCAGTTCACCTAATCCTCCGTATCCACCACGTCGTTGCGCCCACAAGGCCACTAGACATACATGTGCCTGTACAACAAAATGTACAGCAAGTGTAGTATGAATACGAATACAACATGTACCCAGTAAGTATCCAATCTAATCTCGAAAAAGTAGTGACGAGAGGTCGACTCCGACACTTACAATGGCCAACAATAATATACCGATAATATGATAAATTAAGGATTTTATAAGGCGACTGTAAACTCAATAACATGAAGCAGGTATAAACAATTCTTTTGATAATAGGAGATTTCCAACTTTATTTCCATCCTTTAACAATTTATATCTCCGGCCAATGAGGCCACGTCAATTATCAATAATTCCAAAATAATCAACTAAGTCATGCGCAAATCATGCGAGGTCGTACGGTCTGATCCAACATAAAAGTAAAATGTGCACTGCCGAGGGTCGAACTGCGCGAATCATAGATGCATCTAATTACCCCGCTCGCGAATCATACATGCGACGCGGTCAAACATAAATTTAAAGAATTACCCTGCTCGCGGATCATACTTGTGATGCGGTCAAATATAACTTTAAGGAATTACCCCGCTCGCGAATCATACTTGCGACGCGATTACACATAGATTTCTTAAGTTATTATAATACTCTTCCACTCTTTTCAAAATACAAAATTCAAATGAAAACTTTTAAGATCCCAATTATTCCTCAATTTCAACTCCTTTCAAAACATTTAATAAGCAAACTCAATCTCGCTGCTTCTCAAGGCAAGCAGTAAACATAAGTCAATAACAATATCAACAAGGCATGATGTAAGCCTAAACCTACCCGGACATAGGCATAGCTAGTAGCTACGTGCGGACTCTCGTCACCTCGCGCGTACCTAGCCCCAAAATTGAAGCACAAAATATTTTATTTCACCTATGGGGTTAATTCCCTATTACAAGGTTAGAAAGGAGACTTACCTCGCTCCAAAGTTCCATATTCGGCTCCCAAGCCCTTTCGATGACTCAAACCAATGCCCAACGCTCCAAGACTAGTCAATAATCGTGCAAACCCATAAATATATACTCAAATACTCATTATAATCCAATTTATAATAATTTCTAACCCCGATCAAAAAGTCGATAAAAATCACCCTCGGGCAACGTGCCCGGATTCCGAAAATTTTTGAAAATAAACTTTACACATAACACCAAGAACTCAAATATATAACTTATTCCAAATTCTATGTCAAATTTCGTGGTCAAAATCCAAGAATATAAATTTCTAGGTTTTTTCTTCAAGGCCCAAAATTTCTACCAATTTCCATGCTTAAATCCGTATAAAAATCATGTATTTAACTTGCAATAGGTGGGAATCACTTACCTTGACGTAGTTGAAGAAGATGGACCTCCAAAATCGCTCCAAGACTGGCTCCCATGGAGGAAATGAAGTGAAAATGAGCCAAACCCTTGTTTTATAGAGACACACTTCCCAGCCCGCACTTCCGCATCTGCGGTCCACCAGCCGCACTTGCGGCTCCGCACCTTCGAAAATCCATCACACGTGCGGTTCCCTCCAAGCTAGGCAAAATCCGCTTCTGCGGTCCCCCACTCTGTGCCTTCGCACCTGAGGGTACCCTTCCGCTTCTGCGACCCAGCTGCCCTCTTATTTTTCCGCTTCTGCGGAGCTCAGCTCGTATCTGCGGGCTCGCAGATGCAGAAATGCCTTCGCATCTACGGCCACCTAGCTCTGACCGAACGTCGTTTCTGCGACCACCTAGCCCCCACCTGCAAGCTCGCTCCTGCGGCCCTCTTCACGCAGGTGCGGTTACACCAGATGCGTAGCTGCTTCAGCTCTTTCTCCCAACTCAAATTCGATACGTTAACCACCCGAGGCCCCCCGGGACCCCGTCCAATCACACCAACCAGTTCCAAAACACATTACAAACTTAGTCGAGCCCTCAAATAACATCAAACAACGTTAAAACCATGAATCGCACTCCCATTCAAGCTTAATGAACTTTAGAACTTCAAACTTCTACATTTGATGTCGAGACCTACCAAATCACGTCCGATTGACCTCAAATTTTGCACACAAGTCATAATTAACATTACGAACCTACTCCAACTTTCGTAATTGGAATCCGACCCCGATATCAAAAAGTCCACTTCCTGTCAAACTTCTCAAAAACCTTCAAATTTCTAACTTTCGCCAAATGTTCCCAAAATGACCAACGGACCTCCTAATCCACTTCCGGATGCGCTCCCAATACCAGAATCACCATATGGAGCTATTCAGAGACTCGGAATCCCAAACGAATAACGATAACATTGAAATGCACTTCAACCCAATTTTATGAAATTCTTCCAAAATGCTAACTTCCACAATAGGCGTCGAAACACTCTCGGGTCATCCAAATCCCGATCCGGACATACGCCCAAGTCCGAAATCATCATACGAACCCGTTGGAACTTTCAAATCCTAATCCTGATGTCGTTTACTCAAAAATCCAATCTTAGTTAATTTTTCCAACTTAAAGCTTTTGAAATGAGAATTTTCTTTCCAATTCAACTCTGAACTTCCCAAAATTCAATTCCGACCACGTGTACAAGTCGTAATACCAGAAGTGAAGTTGTTCTTGGCCTCAAATCGCCAAACAATGCGGTAGAGCTTAGAATGACCGGTCGGGTCGTTACTTTCTCTCCTACTTAAACATACGTTCGTCCTCGAACGTGCTAAGAGCTGCTCTAGAGTTGTCAGAAATCAATATTTAACACCTCGTGCACCTACCCGTGCTACCACAACTCAATTGAGCATATCAGCTCCAGGTAATCTAAAGATTTTCCCTTTTACTTAGCTAAATAGGCCTTAGAGCTCAATTCCAACATCCAGATTTCTCTGCCAGGCCTGCTTCCATCATACGAACACCGTATCAATCTCTATGCGATGTACCAAATACATGTTTGCATACCTTTGCTGAATCCATACTATGCACTGCATAACCGTAATAACATCCTTTGATAACAATAGCCGATATTTCACGAATTTGGTGCTCGCAATGCACCTTATGACATATATAAGTCTTGTTCTAACTCTTGTAGTATTGCAACGATGGAAGAGATATGCAGAAACTCATGATCAACTGCTGAGTCAATAATTCATTGAGTTCCTTCTCTTGACAAGATCCATTGCCTCATTATGAGCCAAATAACTATATTTGCTCTTTAATATACTTCATATAAATTCGATCGCACTGATCCCAATTTCAAAAATCTCGTCTCACCCGGTACATGTTTCTCAGGCGATGGGCCACCTCAGACACTGCAAAAAGCCTCATATGATGCCACAGAGTGCTAACAAACCACAACCTTGAATGTGATACGTAAGGAGAAATGAGCTTTGGAA